TATAATATTATAAAAAATTTCTTTAGAGACAGTCATGACAAACGTCTTTCTTGTGTTCACCACAAACTGTCTTTTTGCATTTGGCACAGGTCATCTTTGACATTCTTTTCTTTTTAGACGTGCAAAGACTGCAATAACGCCTTTTTTGGCTGAGGGTTCTTCTTCATCATCTGTGGAAGCCTGTACAGCAGATTTTGGAAGAATATTTTCAATGTTGCTTCGCACATGCCTTGGCAAAGTGGGTGCTTCCAGTCTTTGCGTCATCCACGGAGCAGTCAGTTGTTTATTTCGCAGGCGCCTCTGCGACGTAGGTTATCTTTCTCGGGTTAATTTAGCTCTAACTGAACGGCGACGACAGTGTGAATGTGCAAGCTGAGAAAGAGAATGTTTTATTTTGAAATTTGCATCACTGATTTGGGTCTGCAACTTCGTTATTGGCACTGTCGAGAAGGTGGGAGGGCGGGTCATTTCGAATATTGTAAACAAACCAGAATCGACGCACGAGTGAAGCAACTGAGTAATCTAATTAATATACTGCACGGCGTCCGCCAAAAACAGTTTTTGATGAATTAGACTCGTCAGAGTCTACAGTGGCGCATGAAATGAATGACCACCCCAGCTCGTCTTTGTATGTCAAGGAGTAAACGTCCACCAATTCTGCAGTCGCGGTCATTCAATTTCCGCGGCGTAGATTCTACAAATTATTCGATTTCATTATTTTTGGCTCGTCAGTGCTGAAGTGCGACTCAATTATTTTTCATTGAATTTGTGATCTAACAATTTTTATCCTTCTTTATAAATCCATGATCGCGGTCAAATTTTGTCGAACGTACATCAACCCTACAGTAATAGTAATTAAATTTTTACGGTGCAGATTCTACGGATTTTTCGATTTTATTATTTTTGTCTAGTCAATGCCAAAGCGCAAGTACACAGTAAATTATTTCTCATTGCATTTTTACTGTCAGTTCTCTTGCAATTTATTTTGTACTTCGCAAGGCCACGATCAACGTCGAACTGTATCAAACGTTCATCAACACTTTCAGTAATAGTAATTAAATTTTTACGGTGCAGATTCTACGGATTTTTCGATTTTATTATTTTTGTCTAGTCAATGCCAAAGCGCAAGTACACAGTAAATTATTTCTCATTGCATTTTTACTGTCAGTTCTCTTGCAATTTATTTTGTACTTCGCAAGGCCACGATCAACGTCGAACTGTATCAAACGTTCATCAACCCTTCACTCACAGGAATTAAATTTCACAATTGCGGTTTCTACAGATTTTTCGATTTCATTATTTTTGTTGTTGTATTCTGCGACAATTTGTGTACAGTTTTACGTACGAATTGACATTCAAGTCCATTTTTAGTACAATAAATTCTCTCAAATTGTCTTTCAGCTTGGAAATAAAAATGGACAACTTGGAAACAAGAGATATGATTATTCGTATCTTCCGCTTGTTTTTTATAGTCATCGAATATCAACAACTATAAAAACAAGTCACAAGGCTCGAATAATCGTGTCTCCCCTCTCAATTCGTCAATTTTTGTTTCTAAGTTGAGGAGCGAACAATTTGGGAGAATTTACTGTATTTTTCACGAGGATCGTTTCATTATAATTATCGCGAAGCTGCAACACGCACAAATATTATCCTTCATCGCCGTACTTCGGATGTTACATGCGTTCACGTAAAAATTACGTAGATCAAATTCAAAGTAGCAATTCATTAAGACCATCAATGAAGCAAATAAATATTTGCGTAGCGCTCGTGCCTGGAAATGAATGCAGACCATTTTCATTTTGCTGAAAAATCCGCGGTGACGTCATACATCTCTTTCGTCAGACCCGTACATTAACTGAAACAACGAACATTGTCGCGTCGCAAAAATCATGTCCGACACTTGAATATTCCGCCGGTTGAATATTCAATATTTTTGCGGCACGTTCGAACACGTTAGAAGTTACGTCCGTTTTAATAAATCGATACGATTGAAAGATCCGAGGGCAGAGTCGCGGGGCTGACGAGTTTTCCACGCAGAGTTGATGCTTTCCGCGCCGGTTAAATGGAAACTGAAATGGAGTGAGCGCGTTAAGCGGCCCATAAAAATGCGAATTCGGGCCCGCGCGAGACAGAAGCACGGTGCCATAGCAATTTTCCGGGGTTTTTATACCGTCGAGCAGATGAGCTCGGTTTACGGGAAGGCTCATTTCCCACGGTATATCGATCAGAGTAAGTTTCATTCGACTGGCTGTGCCGGGGCGCGGGCGAAAAGCGGGTTGGGAAACATTTTTCGACGAGCTCCGCAGCCTCGCCAGATATTCGAACACGTGTACCTTTTACGTCTTCGTGTTGCTCGCCGTACAATCGTGCGCCGCGGAACACTTAAAAGTGCCTGCTGGCTTCAATATTGGCTTTGTTTCCGATTTCTGCCTGATTACGATCCTCCATGAAATTCTTTCGCTGCGCTAACGACGAACGGAGGAGGGAGCGGCGGATGAAAAGAGACGGAGAGAGAGAGAGAGAGAAAGACAGAGAACGGAAGAATGGAAGAGGGTGAAAGAGAGAGAGAGAGAGAGAGAGAGAGAGAGAGAGATGAGTAGATATAGAAAGACAGAGGAAGAGATAGAGACAGAAAGAAAGGAGAGAGAGAAAGAGATAGAGAAAGAAAGAAAGATGAGTGAGAAAGGGATAGCGACAGAAAGAAATAAAGAAAGAGAGAGAAAGATACAGACAGATAGAGAAACGAGAGAAAAGAAAGTCAGAGAGAGATAGAGACAGAAAGAAAAAAAGGGAGAGAGAGGAAGCTAGAGACAGAAAGAGAAAAGGAGAGAGAAGAGAACACAGAGAGAGAGAGAGAGAGAGAGAGAGAGAGAGAGCTAGAGACAAAAAGAGAGAACAAATATAGAAAAAGTAAGAAAGAATGAGGAAGATAAAAGATAAGGACAGACCGAAAGGAAGAGAGTGACAGACACACACACACACACACACACACACACACACACACACACACACACAGAGAGAGAGAGAGAGAGAGAGAGAGA